TCTGCTCTTTCTCAGATTTTAGAAAACTACTCAATACTCAAACCTTCCCAGAGGCCTCTGGAATTAGTGTTGACTTGCCCTATGGAAGAAATCTCATGGTTTTCTTCCCATGCCCACCTTAGGCCCCAGAAAGTTGCAGTCTGATATCTACAATCAAGGGAAGAAGACCAGGATGTGAGATTTTAATATATCAGATGCTGCTTTCAAATGAGTGGGCTTCCCACAGGCAGCAGGGTACATGGTATATAGAAGGCACTACCCACAGATTCTCTCAAAGGAAGAACTTGGTGGGTGGGCTGGGTAGGGGTGGCTCTATCATTGTTACCTTGGTGATTGTTTTATTGGTGTTAGCCTGCAAAGCTCCTAGGCTCCCCTACCTCCATTCTTCCCTCCGCCTTCCTTACCTCTTCTAGTTCCATCTTTTTAGCTTGTATGACCGGGATCATGTGCATACTAGGCTAGTACTCCATCATGTTGGACTAGCTCTTTGGCCAGGTGTAGATAAGTAGGGCTAAGTGAGGGGCAGGAGCTCCTTTTGGGCACGTTAGTGACAGCAGGTGTGCCTGTCCTGGAAGAATGTTGTCTGACACAAGGTAGGAGGATTTATGCATCAAAATGTGGAGGTCTTCAGAGCCTGAACCGATGGCAGATGCTGATCTTCAAAACTGATCATCCTCTGACGAGACAGAACTCCTCCTGGGCACAGCTACTGATGCCAATTCAAACTATTCAATTCTTAAGCTAGGGGAACAGATGGACCTGTGGAAGGCCAAGGTTGCTGGCTCCAGCCTTCAGTTGCTAAAGAGCCACCACTCAAACTCCCAACTTCATGCTGGCATGCTGCCTCTACACTCTGCAGTGAGCCCACAAATCCTGCCTTTTCAGGTTTATGCGGCCATCATGGCAGGCCAAAACACCAAGTCCCAGACTTCATTGGCCCCACATCCCTGTGACGGTGATTCTCTATGATAGATATAATAAGGGAGGTCGGCTGTGTTCATAGCTGCATCACAGGACTCCACCCCTGCATGGTCATCAGACAGGCACTGGCTGTCTGCAACTCAGATTAAATGAGCCTGAACCTCCTAAGGTCCTTTCTTAGATTTTTGGGGTCCTCTGGGGGAGGGTATCCCCACGGGTGTTCTGGTACTGCTTCTACATGAGCTTCCTTAGCTCCATGGTGTATCAATCCAGAAACAAAACTAAGTCCCTGATTGTTTTCTCCATGAGCACTAAATGAGTCTCATATAGCCCAGTCTGGCTTTAGTGTAGCCAAGGGTGACCTTGAGCACCTAACCCTTCTGCCTCCATTTCCTTAAGGGCATGCATTACTGCATCCACTTTGTATTGTGTGTAGATGGAATCCAGGGTGGACCCAATGCAGGCGGCACGAGCATTCCACCAACTGAGTCATCTTCCCAGTCCAACAATTGCGTCTACAGAAGCTTATGAGGAAGGAGGAGAGGGCTTTAAACAAAGGAAATAATTCGCTTTAGAGTAAACAGCTAGGCTCACAGTCAACACTGGCCTTGGAACCCCTGCTTCGATCACTGGAGGTGTCTTAGTGGCCTGCTCTCCAAACTCTCACTGGTTCCTCCTATTCTTGCTTACTCATTGTTTGGTGAAGCTAGCCTATTGAGCAAGAGGGTAGCAGGCATGGCAGGCACCAGAGACTGCACACAGCCTCTCTGGCCCCTCTCTTTCCCCTCCAGGCCTTTACTAGTCTTTTGTATAGGGAAATAACTGCTTTCTCAGTCTTGACTCTTGCTGCCCCAGGTTGGAGTTTCAAACAAACTTTCTCCAAGTAATTCATCCAGTCACTTACACACACACACACACACACAGAGACAGAGAGAGAGAGAGAGAGAGAGAGAGAGAGAGAGAGAGAGAGAGAGAGGTGGAGTAAGATCCCTCAAGAAATTTCTAATGCAACTTCTTAACAGAGTAGACTTTTGGATTCATTATATATGTAAATCCAGAAATTCAGTGCCCCACTGGGAGATCAGTGCCTAGATTGCCCCCTTCATAGCATAAGTCACATTAAAAGATACACATCCAGGCCGCAAGCAGGAAGACATCTTGCATGTTCTAATCATCCTTTGAGTCACTGTGCCCAGTCCTGTCCTTGTATTCAAGGGGTTAGGTGACAGTAAATGGACATAAGCTCTCAACATCCAAGGATGCTCAGGGACAGCCCTAATTTGATGTTGAAGTGACCAAGGTCATGCCATCTTGATTCCCCATTTTGTGTTTATTTAGATAGCTCTGAATCTTCTACCTCACAACAGTCGCACATGCCTTGGCAGCACGTGTGAGATTTCCACGACCCTGACCATGGCCCAGATGTATTAAGTTTACACAAACATAATATAAACTAAGCTAACAGAAAAAGATATAAGTGAAAAGAAATCATCACTATTTATGTCTGAAATAACTATTATGTTCTGCCAGAATAAATGTTTCAGGGTTAGTCTGACACTCACCTAGCTTTGATGTACATTATGATTTTTGTGAGTTTTGCCTTTTAAAATGTGTCTCCATGAGCTTCAGTACCAAGAGGCTCTGAGGTGTTGGCTCACTCTTGCTTGCCAACCAAAATTAAAAGACTCATATACTCTAAATTGACTTAATCTGTGTGATTGTGCGTATATTTCTCCCGTGGATTATTTCAATGTGTCCTCAACACTATTAGAGGAGGACAAAGCAGGGGAAGTAGAGTGGAGTGGTAGTCTGGGCTGGGGACAGAATCTGTGTGATGCTACCCGCAACTAATGCTTCTGCTCTCATAATGTCAAAGGTAAGGACTTCCTCATAACAAGTGCACATAAGAACTACGTATCAGGGATGAGTGAGAAAGGTTCAGGCATTGAGCATGTGGTGTATAGATTCAGACTTTAAATGCTTGGCTGGACCAGAAGCTGTAGACTCCAGAGGTTGTGGGAGTCTGTGTGTGGGTACTAAGGTGACAGGATACATTTGAACTGTGAACTGGCAGGGCTGTTGGTTCCAAGCTGTCTTCCTGGCATTGGTGCCTCTGGCATGCACTCTCACCAGTTCAAATTCCTCACTTTCATCCCCACTGCAGATCTGCCGGACTAGAGTCTTGTGGCCTAGATGTAGTCACTGCAACCCAGCAAGTTCCTGAGTGGAGCAGAGATCTGCTGGGCAGATGAACTGGATAAGCATGTGATCTTTTTGGTGCTGATGTGAGTGGGAGGGAAGAGTCCAGGAACAGAGAGGATGCTATGTAAAGATCTCCCACCATGGGCTCAGTCCAGTCTGGAATGACACAGCAGAGACGCAGAGGAAAGAGAACACTGTGGGGGGAGAGGAGTGGGCTGTCAGCCTGGAGCAACAATTTCCCATCTTTCTCCACTGGCTCTCAGCCCAGCCGCATCCACATGAAGCACACACGTGCCCACACGCACACACACTCACACTTGCCCTTGAGGCTCCTTGCTTCTGGAGTCCTATGATTCACTAATTATAGGACTGGTTTGCTGACCTGACTGCTCCATATCTCTCTCATTACCTCTTAACCATGAGCCGCGGCCTCGTTATCTTCTGATGTTTCTTTCTTTGCTGAACCATCACTGATTGAGCTCATCTCATGTGCCAGACATTGGGAAAAGGCGAGGAAGAACATGGAGAAGTCAGCCCAGCTGAATGGAGGAGGCAGGCTGTGGTGGGGGATGTATAAAGTTCTCCACTAGCCGAGCGAAGGAGGAAAGAGCAGAAGAGACACAAATTCCAACCACAGTGGACACCCCGGCACATTTGGCTGGCCCTGTGACCTCCAGAGAAAGCGGGTATGACTAGGGCTGGATTTTGAAAGCCTAGCAGTCACCCTAGAGGTCTAGACAATGACCATCATTTTCCAAGACAAAAGTGAAAGCTCATGACAGCAAAGAACAAGTTCTGTTGAGAGCAGCCATCACAGCCAGGACAGCGGACACAGGGACCTTCCATGTCATCCTGTGACCGCTAGAGCACGAGGGGCCACCAGAGGTTTAGAGCTGAGGAATGAAACAGTCCAGGTTCTGATCTCTAACAGCCTATGTAGCCTGAAAGTAGAGAGGACTGGAGGATGGAAGGCTGCAGGCTATGGTGATGAGAGCTGCCTCAGACCGCAGACGCGGGGGGGATGAAGAGCACAATCTTCATGGGGGAGAAGCATCCCTATGCCTTCCGCCCAAGACCAACTCCCCTGATCACTTCTGTTCCCTGTTCCTGCCTTTAAGGCAGGGACTGGACAAGTCAGCAGGCAATGCTTTCTTTCTTCCCTTGCTTTGTCTCGACCAAACAAAACACATCGAAATTTCTACACTGCTGCTGTAAAGACCTTACATATGCTGAGCATAGATGTCCTGTTAGCATTTCGAAAGGGAGGCCTGCCTGGAGTGTGGAACTACTTGGAACCATTGAGGAGGAATTCTTGGAATACTAACAGGTCTAGGGACTGATGAGACATATGTAAAATTATTTTTGTATAATAAAAGGTTAAGAAACAAACATAAGGTTATATGTGAAAAAGGGTTTGAGTTCTAAGGTATTTCTCCCCCATGTAACACACATATATGTAAATGCATCTATGTACATATGTGTGTGTGCATTTGTAGCTACATGTATATAAATATGTGCATACAGGTGTACAAATACATACATTGAGATATGTATAAATACATATGTACACTGTTAGAGACATGATTGACATATGTCTGTTGCACATATACATTCGTGCACATACATGGCAAGCACACACACTTATTTCGTTAGTGGTGGTAAGTCCCCATAAAGGCGACATTAGAGAGAGCTTTGTGCTTGATTGGCACTCAGCAATGTTTGCTGAGTTAGAACAAACCTCTGCCTTGCCCATTCCGATTTTTATCGTTGACCATTGCTCTCAGGAGTTAATGTTTGAACCTGGCCATAAAGAAATCGGCAACCACTGACCTATGGCCTATATTTGAGGAGGAAGAAGCCCCTTATAAAATAGCCAACAGTGGGAGGCCTGGGAGGCAGAGCTGCTGTGGTCTGCTGTAGAAAGGGAGTCTCATCGCCACCATGAACTTCACCGGCAAGTACCAGCTGCAGAGCCAAGAGAACTTTGAGCCCTTCATGAAGGCAATGGGTGAGTGCTGGATTGGACACCAAAGCTGTGAGGGTCTAGCCCTGCTATCAGAAGCTAGCCAAGGTCTGATGTTGAGGTGGAAGGAAGGGTCCAGGCTATCCCAAATCGAGGAGTGCTTTAGTGCCTTTCCTGGTCTCTTGCTACTTCACGGTTCCTGACTGAACAAGGCCACTGGGAGGCAGTGGAAATGACACTGAATTGGATTGACATGTGTCTCCTGGTTCTTCATTTTATGGCCCTGTTCATTCACTCATCCATTCATTCATTTTTCTAGCAATCATTGCCTCAAAACTAACCATGCCTCAAGCACTATGCTCGTACATACACCTGGGAGACAGAATGCGATCAGCTTTAATCCCGATCAATGTTTGGAGACAAGGCTACAATACTGATCAGTTATTTGAGAATAAATGCAATGCAGTGTCCCTTATGACTTCATACCAGGCATTGCAACGTCCACATTTAATACTTACCATAAAACTTAGTTGGTCAATGTTGAGGAAACTGAGGTCAAGAAAGGGAAGTAGCAATGACAAGGGTCACCTATAGGAAATATTTGAGTTGGAGTGAGAAGAAGGCGCTGAGTTCCAGAGACCCCATTTAAATACCCTATGTCTCCCAGGGTACAAGAGGGAAGACTGTGGTGGTGAAGGCTGAGCCTGGGACCAGGAAGAGAGAGCCCCGTGAGCAGGGAAGAGATGAGAAAAAGCAAGAGCAGGGAAATGAAGACACTCAGGTCACCCCAGAACTGAAAGCTGCTTTTGTGGGCAAGACACAGCTCACAAGCACAGGGACCCCCTAGTTGTACAAAGGGCTCTCTACTCTGTGAACTCATAATTCCTGTGAACCTCCATTCAAGAAAAGGCACAGATTTGCTCTGAAATCTGCAAAGCCCTACTCTCGGGCAAAGGACTTTTATACATAACGCGTAAGAGCCACGACTCCAAAAGCCACAGCAAGGTTGTCTGGCAAGGTTCCACTTTGTGCATGGGACCATTTGATTCGGAAGATAAACATCCTGGATGATGAAGTGTTCCCCCTCTAAGAACAAGGCCACTGAAGAAGGGGAAAGTTGGGGGAGGAGAGAAGGAGTAAAAAGTATGGAGTCACAAAGGAAAGGGACTCAGGCCAAATGAGGGTCTTTGTCACAAACAAGTTGGTGGGCTGGGAATGCAGATCAGTGGGTAGAGCGCTTGCCTAGCATGCATGGAGCCCTGGGTTCAGTCCCCTGAACATATAAGCCAGGTATGGTGACACATGACTGTAATTCCAGCACAGAGAGGTGGAAGCAGGAGGATCAGATGCTCAAGGTCACCCTCGACTATACAGTGAGTTAAGGCTAGCGTAGGCTACAAGAGACCCTGCCTCAAAAACTAATAAGACTAACTGGGAAAATAGGAGCAGGCCACTGACTTTCTCTGTCAGACACCAAAGGCCTCACTGCCCACAGGTCTACCATATAGTAATCGTGTGAGGCCTCAGGAACACACAGTGACCTCCTCTGCTTCTCCCGGCTCTAACCATACATGGCCTCTTCCAGGTGTGCCTGATGACTTCATCCAGAAGGGGAAGGACATCAAGGGGATAACAGAAATCGTGCATAATGGGAACCATGTCAAACTCATCCTCACCTACGGCCCCAAAGTGGTCCACAACGAGTTCACCCTTGGGGAGGAGTGCGAGCTGGAGACCATGAACGGCGAAAAGGTCAAGGTATGTAGTCCCACCTCCTGTTTCCCAAAGCGTCTCCTTAACAGAGAACACGGGGCTGAACCCGGTTCAGGCAGGAGCCTCAGGGAGCTCTGAGAACAGACTTCTCATTGTCTCGGGGATCATGAGACGTCTGGGCTCTCACTGTGGAGGATGTGGGGGAAATAGGGCACAAGGTGAGATCCTCAGTCACAGGGTCTCCCAGGCACAGTGCTCCTGGCTCTCCGGAGTCCTACAAGGAGAGTCCGAAACTGGGGCAAATCGGGGTCAGTAAAAGTCTGAGCTAGGGCAGCTTCAACTTCTCAGGGCGGTGGTTCAGGGAAGCAGCACCAGCTGGCTGTGGGCTGCGGGCGCAGTGGACAGGTGATAGCAGAGAGATCCAGGGGCTGCGGGTCCTCTCACCTGCCCCTCCCTCTGAAGCCTGCGCAGCCCAGGGAAGCCAGTGGACTGAACCTCTGCTCTGTCTGCTCCTGACATTCCTGGCAGCCTGTGCCTCGGGCTCAGCAGGACCTCGGCTTCCTCAGGTTGCTCTTGTTTCTGCCTTTCTTTCAAGGTGAAGAGCAGAGGAGGGGGTTCTCCTGATCTGCTCATGGCAAGGGTTGGGGTGTCCTGGGTTTTCTAACGATCCATTGTGGATGTAGATTTTCGACCTTGCGTCTTTTGTTCCTGATCAGATTTCTTCCTCCACCCCTCCCCTGCTTCCCTCCATCCCCTCCTTTCTTCGTATTTTCTTCCTCTAGCATCTTGCATGTAGCCCAGACTGCTCTCAAACACAGTATCTTCCCACTCCTGCCTGCCGAGTGCTGGGATCACAGTGCTGCACTGTGCCCAGTCACAGCTATGCTTCTGCCTACATCCGTCCTTGATATGTAAGGCTTGGAAGTGGCACCACAATAGGAAAGGCTAAATACCTACCAAAGCAGACTGTGTCCCCTCAGCTGCTGGGGGTTGGAGTGCTGCTACGAGCCCCCTCTGTAAGCTTGAGAAATGGGAGTTTACATTTTATTTTAGTTATTTTTTTTCTTTGCAGGGAAGAACCACTTAGGCAGACTTGACATTCTCTTTCATTTATAAATTTCCATTCAGCCCTAGAGAACTGATGATGAGCAGGACGTTTGACTCATTGTTAGCTGCCACCATACAGGGAAACAACCTGATTGGCTCCATTGCTAGGCCTTTCCTCTCTTCCCTGCAGACAGTGGTGAAGATTGAAGGTGGCAATAAGATGGTGACCAGCTTCAAAGGCATAAAGTCCGTGACTGAACTCAACGGCGACACAATCACCAATGTAAGTAGCACTCGGGTCTTGCCATCCCAGTGTTTGAGGGGAGTGGAGACGTGAAGGGTGAGGGGCAGCTGGACAACATCTCTCATTCTCCATCTTTTCCTCCTCGAGACATTGACGTTGTCCATGCCGTCTACCGCTTAAGAGAATCCATTACGTACCCTGTAGTCGATACATGTTGTCTTGACTCTTTTGAACTATGCTTTTCTAAATGGAAAAGTAAGGCTACGACCAGGAGAGTTGGTCAAATGGCAGACAGGTCCCCAGGAACTGGGTCCATCTCTTAGGCTGATCTCCCCCAACCATGAAAAGAGAGGGATGTCAATCATGCAGCAACATTCAGTCCCCGCTCTTGCACCTCGCTCTCACAGCAGAGCAGGTGGGCGGAGAGGAATCACCCTGGACTGAGTCCCGATGCACCTACTCTAATCTTCCTGTCTCCTACAGTATAAAAACAAGACTCCAGCCTATGAGAGGTGACTGTTGGAGCTAAGGTGCTCCTTTCCTAGGTGATAACATTCGACACAAAATCAGAGACCTGAGAAGGAGGGAAGGACCATTCACCATCAACCCTAAAACTGATGTTTTCTTTTTATTGCTATGCTGAGACTTTGAGCGTGCTAAGCAAGCATCCTGTCATACAAACACATGCCCAGTGTTATCATGTGCTTCATTCACATGTGTAAGAGGAAAATCATAGGGCCGCTTCTATGTTCCGGTCTAGTTGCCCAGTGTATCCACGTACATACCCTTCTCTTCAGCCACAGGCAGTTAATGTGCAGTAATAGAACGCAATGAAATTTTGAGACAACAGATCGGGTGTCTCTGGATGGTTTTCCTATAGCTGTCATTGATTCAGGAAACAGTTCAGTGGCTGGCAGGACAGCCCTCCATGTGAGCAAGAGAAGTGACAAGACACAGCAAGGTGTTTTAGATGAAGTTGCCAACCATTCCTCTGCCAATAAAGAAAACGGAAATTTTTAAAGTTACCTCATGTGTGTACACATTTGGGGATGTTAATACTTGGGTTTTTTTTACAAATACCATCAAGAAAATATTTCATAATCTCTCTTCTGACTTTCAGACCATGACACTGGGTGACGTTGTCTGCAAGAGAGTCAGCAAGAGAATTTAGACATGGCTGCGTTTTCTATTCTTTTACAGTGTAAAATTTATGCAATAAAGCTGCTTTTGTTTTGAAAGTATTTCTTCTCGATAGTTTCTCATTGTGGCACTGCTCTTCTTTAGTGTGTGTGTGTGTGTGTGTGTGTGTGTGTGTGTGTGTGTGTTGGGAATTAAACACAAAGCCTTGCAAACGTGAGCATAAGCTCTATCACTGAGCTACACCCTGAGCCCTGACATTTTCAATGAACATTGATCACCTCTGACTTTGTAATTATAATCTGTGAGTCACCCTACCAGCTCAGATCTGTAGAGCACTGCTCACCCCAAGCACCAGCCTCTGACTCAGGTGTCCTTGACAAGAATTCCACAAGTGGCTGAATCTGTGGAGTGACCAGCATGCCCTCTCTTTGCTAGTCACATGGTCAAGAAGCTGGAGCCAGAAGGACTCAGTGAGTCTGAGGGTGTCTCTGCAAAAGGACAGGGATGAGGAAGACCAGGCAGGCAAGGGAGAAGCACTGTCATAAACACAGCGACAAGTGACCCACCCATCAATGGACAGGCTCTAAAAGCTTGGGCCCTCAGCTACCAAATGAACAACTTTTTCTCTTATTGGAGGGCTTAACGTCCAGAAGCAGTACAGGTGGAATTCCTTCACAACGTGGGTAGAAGCAGGAAGCAGAAAATGGAAATGGCCCCCTGAATACTACTTGTCCCAGACTGCTAGAGGTTTGGTATGAGTTGAACAGCAACTAGCAGAAATCCGCACACTGAAATCCTAATGCCCAGTCGCTCAGAATGTGACCTTATTTAGAAACATGGTACAGCAGCTACCAAAGTTCATAGGGAAAAGATGGTGGGCTCCTAATTCAATATGGCCAGTGTCCTTATTAAGACATACCCAGGAAGCATCTGTGTGAAGACTGGCCTTGTGCCGACACACACCAAGGAGTTCTCAGAAGCCAGCAGAGCCTTGCACCAGATGCTTTCCCTGCTCCCTCAGAGGGAACATGGCACTGCCAACACTGGATCTCAGACCTCTAACTTCAGAACTGTGAGGTCTGCTGCTTAAGCCACCCAATCTGGGGAGTAATGGCAAAATAATCCAGTTCTCAGACAACAAATTGCTGCCCGCTTCTGCCATTACCACCTGCATAGTCTTTCAGTACTAGAAGCATCCCCGCCTGTAGGAGCCTTGGCAAAGAGCAAGCAGCTACAGTGGAAAATAAAATCCAATAGCATACACCAATATGCCAGTCACAGAAATAAATTCTAGACTGCAGAGCTAAGTAGATGAATATGCAATGTTGTAAGTAGACGTAACAGTCAGGCATGATAATATATGATTATAATTCCAGCATTTGGGAGGTGAAGGCCAGAGGCTTATGGTGTCCAAAGCCACCTTCAACTACAAATGGAGTCTGAGATCAGCCTGAGCTAGATGAGTCCCTACCTCCAAACAAAACATCTAAGAAATAGAAAAAAGTCAGATGCTTGTCTTTAACCCCAGCACTTAGGAGGCAAAAACCAGGAGGATCTCTGTGAGTTCAAGGCTAGCCTGGTCTACAAAGTGAGTTCCAGGACACCTGGGGATACAGTGAGAAACCCTGTCTCAAAAAACAAAAAATTAAAGAAAGAAAAAGAAATAGGAAGAAAAGAGAGACACATGGCACAGCATCAGAGTAGAACTAGAACAGTATGATACTCACAGAACTGAGAGAAACTGTCATGGCCGAAGAAACCAAGCTGAGTGTCTGCGCAGAGGAAAGACGCTTACATTGTCTGCCTGCGGGTAACTAAGTTCTTTGACTCTGAAGCCAGAAAAGGTATTTCAAAGGTTTTTCAGCAAAGTCTCCAGAAATCAGACAACTTCCTCAAAATGACTCCTAACATGATCTTGCACTAAAATGATCTCTGGGTTGGGGAGGGGTCATATATTTTGTCCTGTAAGACCCTGAACTCAGATTTTGTACAGGCACCCGGAGAACTCAGTACCTGAGCAGACAGCTGCTGCTGAGATCTGCCATTTTCACCTTGGCTCCTCCTCTCTTCACCCCACCCCAACACACTCACACACAGTGTGCACACACTTGCTAACACTTCTGCCTTTGCCTAGCCTGTGGACATTTCACCAACAGGAGGCGCTTAACTCTGTGAGACCGCGTTCACAGCAAATGCACACTAAGTAGGTCCATCAAATAGCTGCTTCCTTTTCCATCCCTTTTTCTTTCTGTTTTTGTTTGTCTCTCTTTTGAATTTTTCTTCATAATTGACTCTATTAGGGTAAAGAAAGTGATTTGGCAGGATAAAGGAGGAGAGACTCTAACACAGTCTACGCTCAAGCTTCTGGGTACTTTCTCGTTTATCTACTTTTACATTTCATTTATTTTCTTGGAAAAGGGGGTGTGCAGGTGCCATTGTGCACTTGTGAAGGCCAGGATAACTCACAGGAGTCTGTTCTCTCCTCCCACTCTATGGGATCTGGGAGCTGAACTCAGGCTGCCCAGCTTATTGGCAAGCACATTTACCCACTGAGCCTTCTCACTGGCCCTGGATCACTCTTTATGTCCATGTTGAGCATCCATGATTTTCTAGTGTCCTGCATCAGAAGAGAATCACAGGAGGTCCGAGAGCATCCAGAGCTATTTGCTTTGCAAATGGCTAGGATGGATGGGGGCATACCTGAGAAGACACAGACAGAACCGAGTCTCTGCAGAGAACCTTTACACTCTGGAAAGGAGTTTGGACTTGACCCGGGGCAGCAGGTGCTTACTGAGGGGTTCACATGCTGTAAGCGAAGTGACATGTAATACTCAGTAGGAAAATCATGTGGCCATGGTGAAGGTCCCACCAGTTTTTCATCTCAGAGCTTTAGAGAGGCAGACCCTTAAAAGTCACCAAGCCGTGGCTATGCCTGGTTAGTGCATCGACTCACCTAGGTCAGTGCAGGTGGCTTCATGGTGAGGGTGGCACATAGAACTTTGTGTGTGTGGCTCTGAGGGGATGGAGGTTTGAGAGTGAGTCTCCACTCCTACTTAAGCAGAGATCCCTTTAATATTCTAAGGATCCATTCTGTCACTCCTCTCTTATAGTTAACACAGGTATTCTAAGCTTAGGACAACAGGCATGGACAGCTTCAAGTTATCTGTCAGTGTGGTATTGGTAAGCATGGTGCTGGTAGACACGTGCACAGTTGGCTCCCACTGCTGACAAAGCCAATTTCACTGTACCACGTCCTACTCTTTGCTGGTCTAATTGGGAAAATGGAAACCCTGAGAGAGATGTGGTTTCGACCAGTATAACACTATGGAGTTTTCTTTAGACATGGCCCATGGGCCTGGTGCTATCCTAAAGGCTTTATAGGTTAAAAATCCAGTCTTCACTGCCAATCTAGGTAGAGAGAGAGAAATCAGGAAACTGAGGCAAGGGTGGAGTAACCAGTCTGATATCAGGAGAGCTGTGAAGAAGGCGAACTTCAGTAATTTTTATCAGCATCCATGCTCTTAAAGCAACACTAAGGTATTTCTCTGAAATCACAGTTAATGAAGTAGTCACTGGTCATCTTCCCTAGTTAAACATAAATTAACTGGCCTGACTGTGGTGACACACAGCTTTAATCCCAGCGCTTGGGAGGCAGAGATAGGTGGATCTCTGTGAGTTCAAGGCCAGTCTGGTCTATAAAGTGAGTTCCAGGAGAGTGAGGACCATTACACAGAGAAACCCTGTCTTGTAAATCAAAAACCAAAACAAACAAAAGCAAAAATAAATTAACTCACATTAAATAAAACTAAATTTTATGTCCTTACTACTATTCCAGTGCTATTGTCACAATCGGTTAGTGACTCCTAAATTGGACATCACAGATATAAGTCCTCTCCATCATCACAGAGAATTTCAGGAAGTTTCTAAGACTGTCAGAAGGAAAGAAGCCATGGCCCGCAAACACAGAAGGTTTAATATAATGACTGTTATAACAAAAATACTCAAAATACACGGCTGTGCAACTCTTTAACTCTGAGATAAGAATTTCATTCACTTATTTACTCAATATGCACTTGATGAACCCTATCATGTTCCAGGACCTGTGCTAGGGACAGGAAGATGAACAAAGGGATGTGACCTTGCCCTCCAGAACCCACAACATGATGGAGGACACGGTATTCTTGGGTGGTGTTCTGAGAATAACCAGGTGTTAGGAGAGGTGTTAGGGAAGTCTCATCCTGCAGAGCAAGCACCCAAGAGGATGTGAGGGGCTGGAGTCTGAGCTGTAAGATCAGATAACAGACCTGAGAACCAGAAACCTCAATGCAGTCATCACAGAAATTGTCAGGTATATTCGTGCGAGGGGTGTGCAGAGCAAGAACAGAGTCAACCAAGGACAAGATCAGCTCAGGGGCTTATCAGGGGCAGGTGAGAAACAAGACCAGGGAAAGCCAGAGAAACCACATCAGAAGCTGATTGCAAAGGGATGGAGCCACAGAAACCAAGTTTGGGGTGTGTTGCTAACAGAAGGGCTAGATAATGTAAGGAACTAGAAGAGAGACATTTTAATGGGGGGGGCAAAGGTAAAAACCAGTATGTAATGGGTTTCAGAAAAAAAATGGAAAGAGAAGAGAAACAGAAGAAAAAAAACCTGCAACTGGAGAGAACTCGCAGCTGTGAAGATGGTGATCCAAGGGTCCTCAGCATGTTTAGTGACTTCATTAAAGATGCCCAGCAGTGCATCCCAGCACTCAGGAGGCAGAGGCAGGCACATCTCTGTGAGTTTGGGGACAGCCTGGTCTACATAATAAACTCCAGGACAGCCAGGGCTAAGCAGAGAGACCCTGTCTCAAAAAAATAAGAGGAGGGAAAAAAGAAAAAGAAAAGAAATCCCATGGTAGAAGAATGGCAAGGCCTCAGGATGGAGAAGAGTGATACTGGAGAAAGTTCTGGAGAGCACAGGAAGGCAAAGAGTCCAGAGCAGGGGCATCCAGCTAGTGAGAGAAGGGGAACCGCGGTCTGCGGTTTGGAGAGACGGAGGTGCACACGGAGACTAGTGCTCCGGTTCGGGGAGACGGAGGTGCACACAGAGACTAATGCTGAAGAGAGCAGATGTGAGGACGATGAGAAGCAGCAGCCATGAAAGTGGGTGGGTGCCCGACGACAGCAAAGGAAGGAAGAGGATTTGGGGGTCCACACTGGGGAAAGAGTGATGATTCGACCGACTGCATCTGTGGGTTCCCAAGGAGAAAGCTGGTGCTGTCCCTAAGCCTAAGCCGCAGAGATCGAAATAACTGTCAGTCTTTTATAGAAGCTTCTAGAGAAGAATAAATCCTTGAAGAAGAACCAAGGATACTAATATTCTGCAAGGAGATGCCATTTTAGCGACCTCAGCTGCCAGGCAGGGCTCAAGGGGACGCAGGATCATTCGCGGATGAAAGGGTGGAGATGGAGGAACATTTTAGACAAATAAATTTGTGTTTTAGTGGGAATCGTGTGACTTCAAGATACTGGAGTTCTGGGGTCAAATGGTTGCCCAAGATTGTGTAGAAGTTTTGGTGACACCCTCAGCTAAAGGAATTTACTTCATGATCCCCCACCATGTCGGGGAGAAAGTTGGGGTCCCAGAAACTCAAAGGTCATCCTTAGGCCTTCATTTCTCAGATAAAAATGGGCCTCTCAGCAAATAAGAACAAGCTGGGGACACTTCTGAAGAGAGCTGGGCCCAGGGGAACTGCCTTCTGTTAAGAAGGGCAGAAGCCCCCAGAGCATGGACAGGAGAAAGAAAGTCAGCCCAGGAAGTAGCATTCACTACAAGGAGCAGGGCCCCACTGGGGCCAGTGACCAAGCCTAAGCTGCTACACACCAGCCTGGCTTGAAAACCCTGCAGCCTCCTCTGCTGGGTCCACTGCTGCCAGGCATGCACACTCTCGGCCTCACACTGAGAAGCCTTCTCACTCCTTCTGGCAAAGGCAAGGAAAACCTCAGCTTCTCTTAAAGTAGTCCTCACATCACAAGGAGCTACAGGCTTGGTGCATGGGACCAAGGAGGGACAAATTCCTTTTGTGTGTCCTAGAGTTATTTCAAGTTTAGACTAGGAATTGAGACCACAAATGGTCTGATCAAGGCCCCTACCTCTTTCCAGCCACCATTCCAAATGGGGTTCAGGTCTCAGAATGAATCTCAAAGGATCAAACACAGCCCAGCCCTTTGTTAATAACTCCACCGCCGCCTGAGGACATAGGACGTCAGCCACCCCAGTCTGCCAAACCCTAAATATTCCCAGCCATCGATGAGACCAGCAGCCCCAGAGACACCTGCTCAGACAGACAAGCAGCCATCTGAGATCCTAGGTCCCTACCACTGTTAACTCAGATGTCACCACACACACGCAAACACATACAGGCACACACACACACAAACACACACACACACTCACCTCCTCTGGACCCCTCTCCATAGAGTCTGCCATTGCATTTACTATTATAACATGCCTTTTTTGTTTGTAATTTTTCTTCTGGCCCCATTATATTTGGGACTTCTTTATTGACTAGATGATGAAATCTAGCACCCGACACATATAGAAAGAGTTGGTCTGGGATGAGATAGAGCTAAGCTGAGTTGAACTGAACCAAAACGGCAGTGGAGGACACAGAGTAGTAATTTCCCCAGCTCCCAGTCACATTGCCCCCACTCTCCAACAAAGTCTTCATTGCTTCTTATGGAACAGAGCCGGGGCTGGTTCATTGCTGGGCTCAGCCATGACCTGCATGGGCTGGTTGTTCAGGGCAGCCTCTCGCATCTTGTGGTACATGAACTCATTCTGGCGGAACATACGAAGCTCCATCTCTGTCTGTACCCTCATGGCCTGCGGGACAGATAATAGCACTGAGCGTGACATGGTCCCAAGACATGGTCCTGATATAACTTTGAATAAATGAACCCCTAATCAGTAAGATTCAGTTCTATCACTTCACAAATGTGTGTGAAATGGGTGTGCAGGGGTGGGGGCACCACTGTGGACTGATGGTGTAGCAGCATTCCTAGCGCCACAGGGAGAGGGAGCTGGACCCTTGAGATGGCAGCTGAAAAGTTGCTTTCAGCAGAGAACACTTCTTCTCCCTGACGCCTGAGGAGCTGGATCTGAACCCTGGACTCTGACCTCTGTGCTTGTAGGACCTCAGTGGAGGGACTTACCCACAGTGCGTTGGGAAGATAACAGTGGTACAGTGCACAACAAAGTCTTTGTTCTCCCACATATCCACTCAGGGAATTTTCAGAAAGAGCTAGGTGTTCAGAGGCTCAGGATACCATGGTAAGGAAGACTGACAGAGATAAGCCTTGGAGAAGTTTAATATACTAGATATAAAATTAGTCATCTCTGATCTTACCATCAAATCCCTGGTGAGTCCTCCCCTCCTTTGGGCCTCTGTTTCCTCATATGTAATCAAGGGGGCAAGGGTCAAGCATCCTAAGGTCCTTTCTGGTCTAGTTGGCAGCCTACAGATTTCCATAGAGCAAAGTCCAGTTGCACCAGGACTCCCATCTCAAGAGACCTTCCAACAAGACAGTGACTGTCCACCAGGATGCTATTTACCTCCAAGTCCTTGGTAATTGGGTGGGAGGGTCCGTGTGTCACCAGGAGAATTGCATAGGCTTTGCAGATCATCCCGTGCCCCACTTCAATGTTGCCAGCATGCCAGTTGGTCAGCCCTGCCCGCATCACAGCCATGCCCAGTTGGGCATTGTTATGGTGGTAGAGCTTCCTGCAGAGGCACAGAAAGTAATCATGACCTATAGTGCCAACCTTTCTTACATCTGCATAGCACAGAACAACCCCTAAAGTACTCTGACAGCTCTCATTATCAACTTGTTATCTAGCGTTACGTGGGAAGAGAGTCTCGTTGACAAATCCTCTAGATTAGGTTGGCGATGAGTATGTCTGTGGGCAACCGTCTTGAGGATCTGCGGATAGCACCATTCCCTGAGCAAGAGGCCCTGAACTTTGTAAGAGTGGAGAGGACCAACTGAGAGCAAGCTTGCATGCTTATTCATTCCATTCATTCATTCATTCCTCTTTGCTCTTGAGCCTGGGTGCAGTGTGACCTCAGCTTCCCCACAATGGTGGACTGTGACTTGGAACTATAGCTAAAATATACCCCTCCTCCTCTAAGATGACTCGTTGGAGTATTGTGTCACAGAAAGTGGAAATGACACCGAGGCCAGTACTCCTACTGGTCAAGTCCACCTAGTCTTCCCGCTCTTGCTGTGAGGCACCAGCGGCTTGTTGTGGAGTACTGAAATCCACAGAGCTGACCAGTGTTCTACACAGTGAAGCCAGGAGAGTTGAGACTATGTCCTGGACAACCAAGTCAAGGCATCATGGACAAAGAGGGCCACAGCTGTACTGAATCTAAGGATAGGAAGCTAGGTACCATCGGGAGCACCCCCAGATCTCTAGGTACATCAGGAGCACCCCCAGCTCTCTGGGGAATGTGAAAGGGAGTTCAAGACAAGAAATAGAACTTTAGTGTCCTTCCTGGGGCTGCGCTGTATTTTCCTTCTCCCGGCAGGACTCCTTCCTGCATGCTGGACCATTTACCTGTGGTTTTAAATGCAAAGCATGCTCTAAAGAAAAGTCTTCTTGTGACAACTTACTCTTCTGTCCAGAAACACAAATTCCTAAGCTAATGTGAACATAAAGAGACAGCCAGGCCACATGACTTTAATCCCAGCACTCAGGAGGCAAAGGCAGAGGCACGTGGATCTCTGTAAGTTCGAGGCCAGCCTGGTCTACAGAGTTAGTTCCCAGGACAGGCTTCAAAGCTACACAGAGAATCCTGTCTCAATAAAAAAACAAAACAAAACAAAACAAAAAGACAGAAGGCAAGAGACAATGTTGGTATAGGGGAAATGAGAAAGCATCGTATTACAATTTTTTAAAATTTATTTATCATATGTGCATTAGTGTTTTTCCTTCATACATATCTGTGTGACGGAGTTGGAGCCCCTGGAACTGGAGTTACAGACAGTTATGAGCTGCCATGTGGGTGTTGGGAATTGAATTCAGGTCCTCTGAAAGAACAAGAGCTCTTAACCACTGAGCCATCTCTCCAGCCCAGAGAATTTTTTTCTTTTCTTTTCTTTACTTTTTTTCTTTATCTTTTTCTGTTTTTTTTTGTTTTGTTTTGCTTTGTTTTTCAATACAGAGTTTCTCTGTAGCTTTGGAGTTTGTTCTAGAACTCATTCTGTAGACCAGACTGTCCTTGAACTCACAGAGATTTGCCTGTCTCTGTCTACCAAGTGCTGGGATCAAAGGCATGCACCACAACTGCCCTCATATTATAATTTATAAGTAAAAATGGCCTGTTTCTCTTCACAGAAGAACTGTGAAAACTATATGCATGTGTGTATATATATGTGTGTGTGTGTGTGTGTGTGTGTGTGTGTGTGTGTGTGTATGTGTATCTGGACACATATTGTACTTGTGTGTATGTATGTACACACATGCATAAATATGTAAATATACACACAATGCAAATATATTGCTATGGTTTGGTTAAGTCCCGTGTGTTGGAGGCTTGATCATGGGTTTTTAAAAAGAGAATAAAAAAACTTTTGAAACATTTAAAATCAAGCTTCATTTAGGAAAATCCAAAGCAGGAGATGTCATTCAAGTGACAAATAAGGAAGTAAAAATAAACAAACACACCAGAGATGACAACTAGGCTTCCTCTGAGTGTCAACTCTGACGGTCTAAGCATTGTTGCTTGGGGCACTATGATAAAAGCTTAATTTATGAGGAGAAGTTCGGCTCTGGCTGTGGCCTGTGACTCTGTGTACTGTGACCATGTCATTGTAGGTGTAGGAGGAACAATCAAATGCGTGTCATCTCTTTGGCATCCCTGGGACAGAGGGTTTCCGGGAGGCTAACTCGGGGCCATCACCTACGTGTAGCCATCCACCATCCTCCTGGCGTAGTGTGAGGCCTCCTCAAAGGCCTGGAGATAGGAGAGGACCTCTGACACAATGCTTAGCAGACGAAGCACGTAGAGGTTGGTGTCGGCAAACACTGGTTCCTGCTTCTCCAGACACTCCCGGCACAGCTTGACAACCTGGAGAGAGACATAGCTTCAGCCAAGGCCACTGTACCAGAGTTTATGCTAAACTGACAGGCGGAACATCAAGACAATCCTAGACTCACTCTTTGAAAGCTGGAGAAATAGAGGGAAGAAAGCAAGGTTTGTGATTTGAGCTAACAAAATAGTCTTCCCGGCTAAGACATTGGCATGGGAAAGGGTAGCGCTAGACATAAAGATGGTAAAGCAAAGGGAGGAAGTTTGCCCACTCAAAGCCAATAGGCAGGAGAGCTGTAGAAACTACATATGCATGTATGTGTGCATGTCTACACATAAACTAAACTTGTGTATACATATGTACATAAACATATGTCTAGATATACACAACGTAAATACATTGATAAGGTTTGGGTGAGTGCCCACTCCTAAGGCCTATGTGTTCAAGGCTTAGTCATCAGCCTGTGGTATTACTGGAAGACAGAAGAGAAAAAGAAAGCCAGAGGAATGGAGCCCAAGGAACCCCACCACTTACTCTGGTTCCTAACACAAGCCTTTGCCACACTTTCTTTACCAAGCATAAAACTTAGTTTTCATGGCTTCCTCTCACCTGACAGAACTCAGGGGATGAAGAGAGTATCTTGCATTGGTCACCCTAGCAAGGGTTCATACATGTGCAATGGATGAATCCGTAAAGGAGAAGGAGGAAAAGAAGGGACATGGAGCCAACACGAAGTGAAATTAGTCACCATGTTAGCATAGCCTAGTGACGTCCACACCTGGCTCATTCAAGCCACAAAATGAGCTTGTGGGGAAAGTCACTGATTCGTGGTGCCTCTGTTCTATTTCAGAATTAATAGATAGATCCCTGTTGCAGGAAAATTGTTTGAACAACCATCTCACTGTCCCAGTAAAGCCACCTTGAATCAAAGGACCGAGTCAGCAATTCACTGACTGAGATTAGCCATAGAGTTCTTGAAGGACTAAGGAGATCTGCTAGAGAGAACAGAAAGAGAGAAGGGAGGATTTCTGGGAGAGGCGCTTCAGAAAAAAACGTGGAGGGAGGGTCAGCTGTCTCTGGATGTTATCAGATCTTTATCTCAATTTCTGACTCTCAAGTTCTTTTTTTTAAATTTATAAAAGTTTATTAATTTATAAAAGTTTTCATTTCTGCCCCTCCTCCCAACACCCTCCCACTCCCCCCACTCCCTCTCCTCCTCCCCCTCCATCCCTAAGAGCAGTCAGGGTTTCCTGCCCTGTGGGAAGTTCAAGTTCCTCCCCCCTCCCTCCAGGTCCAGGAAGGTGAGCATCCAAACAGACTGGATCCCAAAAATCCAGTACATGCAGAGGAAACAAGTCCCAGTGTCATTGTTCTTATGATACTGGAACAATTTAGATACTCAGATCCCAGCTTAGAAGGTGAGACACAGGACTGACTTCCAACAAGCTGTTGAGATTAATTCAAAGCAACTTCTCAGGTGTGGATGTGTATGTCTGTGATCCCCATACTCAAGAGGATAGAGAATTCAAGGTCAGCCTACATTACATAGCAAGGCCTTGTCTCCAAAAACTAATCCAGCAATATTTCTGCAGATCACTTGACTGCACACTGAAAGTCTATGGAAGCTATGAGACCTTGATGCTTAGATCCCTCTAGCAGAGATTTTAGAGAACGTGTCCTGGTATGAGGAGGGGCATAAGGTGGTTACCTAGGTGATTATGCTATAGAGCCAAATGAGAGTCTACAGGGCTCTAGGAGACAAAGCTGAATGCCCAGTGGGTGGTGACAGGATGTAAGAGACATGTCCAGTGATGGGGAAGCAAGCAGGCCACTCTCAGTGTCCCCCCAAGGCCATTGTCATTCTTCCAGTTCTGATTCCAGGCCCTCCTCATGGATCCAGCAACACTAGCTCTCCTTGGACAGATCTCACTGGGTTGAGCCATCACTGAGAATACTTCCTTAATGGGTGCTAAGATGGAAAGGCATAAGATAGAAACGGCCTTCCAGGAAACACACCCTGTTCACGGGTCTCGTCTTTCTGTTTACACATCTCCCTGACTCTCCACCCTCTTCCCCATCACTACCCCCCCATTAACAGTGCTCTTACCTCATGATACAAACCCTCAGAGCGAGCCTTGTCTATTTTTTCCAGAGTATCCTTTGAGAACTGTACCATCTCCTTCACCACTTCTGGGGAGGGCTGCAAAGAGAGGGACATGCGATCTGAGATCATCTCATGGGGCAGCCCATTTTATCTCAGAGCACCTGAAGGCTGGGAGTGCAGTTCCATTGTAGAGCACTTGCCTTTCATGCATAAGGCCCAAAGTTCCATCCCACTACTACCCAAAGAGAAACAAAAATAAACTGGCTTCAAGTGTCTGCCATCTTTGATGTTCACGTTAACGCAGGATCAGAGCCCTCCACACTCTGAATGTCTCATTCTATAAGTACATAAAGACCCTTGTGGCTTCTCCAATTGCTTCTTCGGGCTTCTTTTTCTCAATTTCTTAATTTAAAGGTTTTTGGTTGTGGAGCACTGTATTCATATCATTCCCATCCTTCGCCCTACTTGGATCCCTCCCATGTTTCCCACTCCCTCTCAGTATTGCTCACAAGTGTTTAGGGAGGACCACTTGGCCTGAATAACTTACCAAGTTATAACTTGGTAACTGAATAACTTACCAAGAAGCTCATCCCTGGGGAAAGTTGGTTCTCCCTCTCCACAGCCACTAACTGACTCTAGGGACAGTTGCCCTGTCCACACTGGCATATTGACTATTGTCTTTAAGCAGGTCTTGCTTAGGCGACCACACTGTTGAGATTCATGGAGGCAGCGCCCCTGTCATATCTAGAAGACACTCTCTCATAGCAGGCATCCTGGTTCTCTGGCTCTTACAATCTTCCTGCTCCCCTTTCTGTAATTTTCCTTGAGCCTTGGGTGGAGGGACTGCATTGCAGGCGTTTTGGTTGGGGTTGGTCACCCCATGGTCACTTACCCTCTGCTTTTTGACCAGTTGTGGATCTCTATCATAGATTCTGTCCGCATGCAAGAACTTTCTGTGACGAGGAGTGAGAACTACACTTACCTGAGTATAAGGATCAGTATTTAGAGAACAGTTAGAAAGTATATTGGTTTAGGAAAACAGGTTTTCCTCTGAGGTCCACGACCTCTCCAGTCATGGTAGTTGGAGAGATTTACAGTGCCAGGCATAAATTCTTTCCTAGTGATCGGGTCTTAAGTCCAATTAGGCCCGATCTGTTGTTTGCTGCCTAAATACAGTCGGCCCTACTGCATGGTTGAGGATACCTTGCTGGGCCAGTCGTTGTTTGTAGGCTTCACACGTGGGCAGAACTGCCAGTCGTTTTTCCCTCTCAGCGGACTGCATAACACCTTCTGATACTGTGAGAGCCGGTCCTCAGGAGTGAGGGTTCCAGCTCAATCCCTCCACGTCCTGTCTGAAGTCTGTGGTGACTTCCGTAATAGGGTCTAACCTTCAAGTGCTGGCAGACAACCAAGGGCAATGGCAGTAGCCTAGATTGTTTTGGGAGTCTGCTGGACATCCCTGACCAACTCAAAGGGAGCTTTTGTTAGTCTACAGTTTTGGGGGGGAAGCATTATCCCTCAAAATTGCGCAACTCCATTTAAACCACACACACACACACACACACACACACACACACAGAGTACATTTTAAATATGGATTGTTAAAGTCTTATGCAACCTGACCTATACCTGTTTCTTCTTTTCAATTAAGTGTGTGCGCATGTGTCTATGTGAGGTATGCCACGTGTGTGCATATGTCTCTAGGGATCAGAAGAGGGTACTGGATTCCAACAGGGATGCTAAGAATGAAATTCTGGAAGAGCATCAAGCTCTCTTATCCACTTAACCATCTCTCCAGCTCCCTCTTTACACTTTGGTGATTAAGGTTCAGAATCTTGCTATTACCCAGTCCTTGGAAGTCTGGCTCCCTGCTGGGCTTTTGGACACAAGAGCAGAACTTGACATTGACCCCACTTGCGTTTCCTCTAGAATTTTGCACTGGGATCCTGTTGTCTAAAATTCTTTGCTTCAAGACCACATAGTCCACAGTTAGGCCTTGCAGCTTTGTCTTCATCTGAGTCATTGATTTAAATACAGAGAAGCTAGCCACAGGGGTGTGTGCCTGTAGCCCTTGCACTTAGGAGGTGGAGGGCAAGAGGGTCTGGAGTCTAAGGTCAGTCGGGACTACAAGAGAGCCCATCTCAAGAAACCAATAAAATAAAATTACTAAATAATTACTGGCCAGAACATGAGTAAAGCCTGAGGGCCCAGTCCAAGAATCGTACTCCAGTGGCTGCTGGAGTTTGCTAAGACAGCTCTTCTGGTTACGGTCTTGCAGACCCTCCCAAGCATCTTAACATGCAACCATTTGTTATCTCTTGATTGAAGGAACAGCACAAGAGGTCAGCTCTCTGAAAGTCTGACTTGTGCTGCCCACGATAGACAGACTAAGCAGTCTAGTGATCTGCTCAAAGCCTATCCAACTAGGTTTGGTTAGTGAGGAAGGAGGTACCATGTCTGCAAAAAGAGTTCCTATGAGGACACCATTAGTTTTTTTGGGGGGGTGTTTTGTTTTGTTTGTTTTGCCATTGTTTTTGGTGGGAGAGGGAGTGCCAAACATCTCAAAGTCCAAAGAAGGAGATGAAGAAGCAAGAGGAGAAAGCGGGATCAAAAGAAACCCCAGGAGCTAGGTGAAGCAGCAGCAGGAGGAGCTAGGTAAAAGTGAGGGACGAGATTAGGGGTGGGGCTAAAAGAGAAGAAGAGGAGCAGCTGCAGCCAGAGGCAGAGAAGGAAGAGTTATGAGGGATGCTTGTTCCTGACCTTCGAAAAGTAACCTTGCAGGATAGCGAGAGAAAGAAAAGACTAATTGGGCAAAACAGAAAGTGTCCAGAGGTACAGCTGAGGAAGGTGTTTTATATTCTGTTTTTATTTTCTCATTTAAAACTTTTGGTTTGCATTTCCTATGGGTTACTGTGCACATATGAAGCAGGTAGGATAACTTCAAGGACTGACAGTCACGCTGGCTGGCGTACTGACCAAGGTACTGCTGACAGGGCTGCGGTCAGGCTACACTGAGGTTTACACTGCCCAGTTTGGGGCAGCAGAATAGCAACTCTAGCAATCTGAGATGTGTACACGGCATCTTTGGGCCCCTTAATTCTTCATGCATTTGAATGGTTTAGGCCATTTCTTCTATTCATATGTTTCCCTATGTGTATTGATTTAAAGGTTTTTTTCCCCGGTATTTTATTGTTACGAAAAGTACCACCACAGTCTATCTGTTTCCATGTATCTTATAGCAAATGTGTAAGCATCTCTTCTGGGTAGATTCGTAGAAGTAGAACTTGTTAGAGAAATGTTTATATGATATAGTAAAAAAAAATACAAATAAGTTATTGGCTAGAAAATTGAGTAAACAGTCCAGGGATGAAGGGGAGAGCTACACTGAAGTGGCAGGTGCTCAGGGTGGGGTGGGGGTGTTTTATGAACATATTTAGTGAGCACATACACCACTAGGTAATGGGGCCAAGAGATAGGTCATATGACCAGCACCCAGGAATTCACTCAGCACCTCTGCTCTGACCAGGAACACATTTCCTCTTCCACACAGCACTCAGAGGGGAGTTTAGAAGTCCGTGTATGTGTATCCCACAGACACTAGTGGAGTGCCAGTTATACAGAAGCATCCAGTTAACCCCTTGCGTCCTTCCATCGAGACCCCCTCACTGGGGAAGAGAAGAAGCCATGAAGACACTTTTCCCCACTCTGACCTGGTAGCCAGTCATTTTGTGCCCTGCTTTTCCCCCACTTGTTCCTCCAATCAGATGGAGAAAACTGCCTGAGCCTTCTGACAGTTTTCTCAGCGGTGAGAACGGTATCCCCACGCCTGTGCTGACCACAGGGAGGACACGGATGAGCAGGACTGACGCCCTCTCTGCTTTCTCCTTCTTTCTTATACTGTTTGGAAGTGTCTAAACATTTCTCTCTCATTTCACTGGACACTCTGTCCCCTGGCAGCTCAGCTCTCTCCCAGCTCAGCTGAACTCCTGGCATCCCCTTGACAAGTCTGCCCCAGCTCCATAGCACCCATCTCTACAGAACTGGGAAAGCCATATTCAAATCCCTTTGCCTATTGAACTTTGGTCTCTGAAGTCTCCCAAATTACTTAACCTGCACAAGGGCACCGTGGGGAGCTGATTCCTGCTGAGTGCCTGTGTGCCAGCCCTTGTATACAAGTCATCTTGTCCAATGTTCATAAATTAATTAGGCTTTTGCTCTCCTCTCCCCGAGAAGACTGACTTCTTCAAAAATCCCCTATACCTGCTGGGACCTGCCTGCCCTGCCTTGTGCTCCATCCTCTGTCGCCTCCTCAAGGCTATAAGCCCCACCCTTGCCCAGCCCCTGGGAAGGTGACCTCGAACTCTGAAGCACAGCTGTGTGTACCTTGGGGTCTTCCTTCACTGCCTGGAAGAGGTCGTCCTTCAGCCCTTTCTGGCAGTGCTCACAGGAGCAGTCAAAGTAGTACTGCTTCCTCAGCTGCTGCCTGCGCTCCTCGCTGAGGTGGAGGAAGTCGATGTAGGACACGGTGAGCTCCTCACCTTCGGAGATCTTGCCCAGAGCCCGGAGCTCAATTCTGGAACAGGACGAAAGGGACGCTGATGAGCATTCTCCGGGGCTTCCAGGACCCCAGCCCCAAAGACAGCAGCTCCCAGTAAGGCTCTGAGAGAACACCCATTCCCTCCCGAGGGCTCATAACCAGGTCATTGTACTCATTCGACATCACATCTGCTCTGCTCAGTCAACTTTTCTGGAATCGGTTCACATAGAAAGCCCATAAAGGACTGGGCTTGGTCTCAAAGCCCTACACAGAGTCTATGCCCACAGTTTCATACACTTTCATACTGAGCTGTAACAGGATGGGAATAATAGCAAAGAGAAAACATGATGAGATCTAAAATTCTCTGTCTTAGTTTGGAGACTACATCCTCTGTAACAGACATGCTGAGCTGCCGCCATCTTGGCACCTTGTACTTTATGCTCCTGTTCAATGGTTTAGGCCTATGTTATGTAGGGAATTTATGCTCACTGGAGACCACCAAAGGAATTTGAATATAAAAAGGCTGAGGCTGTGAGCCTGGTTCACTTTTTTATTGTTGTTGTTTTGTTTTGTTTTGAGACAGGTTTCTCTATAGCTTTAGAGCCTATCCTGGAACTAGCTCTTGGAGACAGGGCTGGCCTTGAAGTCACAGAAACCTGCCTGCCTGTGCCTCCTGAGCGCTGGGATTAAAGGAGTGTGCCACCACTGCCTGGCCTGGTTCACTTCTGTGTGTGCTGGAAGGTGGTGCTAGCTGGTTGTTAGAAACTATTTTTTTTTCTTTTTATGCAAGGTTTCTCTGTGTAACTGCCCTGGATATCCTGGGATTCACTCTGGAGACCAGGTTGGCATCGAATAACAACAGTATTTCTATTTTTATTTCCTCTCAGCCTGAGCATGGCCCTCCAGTTACTCAGAAAACTTCCCATCTTACTGTGTAATAACACAGAAGGTGCTGAAGTTAAAAGGCCCCTGAACAACTGACATCCATCCAGCTAAGTCAGCACAGTGCCTCTCAGTCACGCACTTTCGACCAAGAAGTCAGACTGTAAGAAGAGGAGGAGGAGGAAAAGGTGGTTGTGGTGAAAATGGAGGAGAAGGAGGAGAAGATAGAGGAGGAGATGTACTAGTGACAAGGCTTGTAAGCTCGGGTCTCAACTGTGTTCCTGAATCCCCAGGAGCCTGAATTCTCACTGCTGGGCAGGGATTCTTGGTCACCACTTCCCCGAAAGAGTGTCAGGCATCATGTGAAAAGCAAGATCCCCGCACCCCAGAGAGATTCAGAGGTACCCCCTTCCATGTCTTCTGAGAAGATAAACAGAGACGTAACTGCCGAGAGGCGGGGATAGGCAGGCCCAGGTGTCTGAGGTGACTGCTTAAGGTTCCAAAGCCTTCCCCATAGATAGAGGACATGAGATAATGTGGGTGGCTGGGTGGGAGTGTAGTTCAGAAGAGTGCTTGCTAAGCACGCATGAAGCCCTGGGTTGGCTCCCAGCACTAAAGTCAGGGAAAGAGAGAGAGAATGAATGTGTGCATCTGCTATTGAGTAAGGGGCATTCTTGTTATTGACCAAGGAGAACTGGAGAGAGGAAGTGCAAGTCTGTCCGAGGATGCATTGTGGATGCCAATCTGAGTGTTCTCAACTTGGTTATTGTAAAAAAAGGAGAGAAGGATATTCCTGGACTGACAGATACTACTGTTCCTCGTTGGTTGGGAACTAAAAGAGCTAGCAGAATCCGAAAGCTTTCTAATCTTTCTAAAGAAGATGATGTCCGCCAGTACGTTGTCAGAAAGCCTTTAAACAAAGAAGGTAAGAAGCCAAGGACCAAGGCACCCAAGATTCAGCGTCTTGTGACTCCACGTGTCCTGCAACACAAACGTCGGCGTATTGCTCTGAAGAAGCAACGAACAAAGAAGAACAAGGAGGGGGCTGCAGAATATGCTAAACTTTTGGCCAACAGAATGAAGGAAGCCAAAGAAAAGCGCCAGGAACAGATTGCCAAGAGGCGAAGGCTGTCCTCACTGAGAGCTTCTACTTCTAAGTCTGAGTCCAGCCAAAAATAAGTCTATAAGGGTAACAAATAAATGATGAGACTTTGAAAAAAAAAAAACAACTGGAAAACCTGAATGCCATGCTCCTCTTGCTCCTTTGTCCCATTTGAAAGGGGCAGGAAGAAAGGGTGGGGACACTATTCATACTCTGTCCTATAAGAGACAGTTAAGCTCCATGTTGTAGAAAGGAGCCTGCATGTATATATATTACTGATTAGTTCTTCCATTCCAAGGTAACTGCTATCTATACACGCAGCCAAGTCGCCCACTTAGCAGTAATGCAATCAAGACTGTCACACGAACTAGACCCAGTATGTCATGAAGTGCCTTGGCCCAAACATCCACCAAATGAGGTCAGAGTGCAAGGAATGATACACAGAGGAGCCCAGACACTGTCAGAGGAGTGACTGACCACTGCCCCCGGTGCGGACTGAGCTCCTCCAGAGGGACTGCCTGCCTGTGCGTCTCCCACCCACACTATACTCTCCTGGCAGAGGTCACGGCTGAAGATGCAGTCTGCTGCCTTCGCAGACCCTTGACTGTGTGGACAGAGCACAGTTTAAATGTTAATTCTCCGTGGTGCCAGGCAGTCGGAGTTCTGGCATTCCAGGGACACTTCCCAGCATTCGCTAAGAGCGGTAACTAAAGTGATGAGACAAGTAGGGAGAGGGAGACCACATGATCCTGCTCACGGCTCTGCTGAAAATGCTGGTATTTCCAAGCCGCAGAGGCCTCTCATGTCACAAAGAAGGCTGTTAATATGAGAAATGTAAGTCACTTTCCTCAAGATCCCAGAGCGCTAGGAAGACAAAGCCAAGGTTGGAATTCAGGATCCGTCTATGCACTTCAGACAGACAGCAGATGGCTTTCAGGTGCCTCCTGGGTCTGTGATACATGGGAAAGGGCCTTGTTTTCAGGGTTCCACTAATATCCTAAGATATGGTAGTCCAGTCACTCCTGGGCCAGAGAGGACAGCGGATAACTAGTGCCCTAAGGCAAGAGGAAGGCGAACTAGAAGCATTCTTCTGCCGAGTAACATATCCCCAGTCTTCTTATTCTATGTTTTGGGCATGACATGTTTGGGGGACTATGTGTTCCCCACTGGACCCTTTTACAGAGCTGGCCACCATAGTGGCGTGTTATGATCCAGTATGATTCAGGGGTAGATTGGTCATGACTTTCAGAAACTCTGATTTCCACGCAAGACCTCAGGTTTCTCAGACTAGAAACGGTGTGGAGTGAAGAAGCCCAAAGGCACAGTGAGCGTGGCGGTGAGGCTGCCATCCCAGCACTCCGGAAGAGCATGAGCTTGAGGCCATCCTGGGCTACTCAGGAAGCTGGGGCCAGCCTGGGTTATGCAGCAAGACCCTGTATCAAGAAAGAAAGAAAAAGAGAGGTGTTGGGGCAGGGAAGAAAAGGAAGAGGAGGAAAAGAAGGAAGACAAGAAGAAGAGGGGAGAAAAGGAGGAAGGGGAAGGCACAGGAAGGGAGGAATAAAAAAGTTTCCAAAAATGAATTAAATGTATGTCACTTATATATGACAGTATGCCTATAATCTCAGCTACTCCAAAGACAGAGGCAGGAAGTTCAAGGCCTGCCGGAATGACAGAATTCAAGGCAAGACTTGGGTAGATTAGTGATGGATGGTTTCGATTAAAAAAAAATAGAAGAGGCAGGTGGATCTCTGTGAGTTCCAGGCCAGCCTGGTCTATAAGAGCTAGTTCTGGGACAGGCACCAAAGCTACAGAGAAACTCTATCTCAAAAATAAAACAAAAAACAAAAAAAATAGAGATGGGGCTGGGGATATATCTCAGGAGGAGACTGCTTGTCTAACAGCTGAGGTCTTTGGTTCAATCCCTCAGACTAGAAAAGAAGAAAAAGGAAAGTAGAGGTGAGAGAGGGGAAGGAGGAGATACATAGATTCCCAGGCTATTTTATACTACAGATGCTTCTCCATACATAGCAGGGTATGCCCTCAATAAATCCATGATAGGCTGAAAATATTACAAACATGTATTTAATATATCTAATGTTCTTAGCTTTGCCTGCCTCACTGTGCTCAGAACATATCCAACAGGCCAGTGAGGAAAATCAACTAGCACAGAGTGTTTTATGATGAAGGGATTAACATCTCCCATAGTTTGCTTCTTGCTATACTGAAGGTGAGAAACATCATAGTTGTATCCTTATGTGTCTGTTGTCACCATTAAACATAAAAGCTGTTAAGTCAAACCACCTTATGTTAGAAACTATTTATATTCAGAATCATGAATTGAGAGATGAACAGTGGCTAAAATAATCACAACAGGAGCCAAGAATTGAAGGCTTAGCGGGGCTCTTTCCTCCACCCAGCTTCCTCGGGAAAGTCTGATTCACCCTGAGCTGCAAACCCCTTCCATCTCCAATACCCTACAGCTCTATAGTGGCGCTAACCTAACTGCAAGCCAACAACTTATCCAAGTGCTTCTTGAAGACATTAGGAACACAGCCAGAGCTAAGGAGGATTAGAACCAGGAAGGTCCTGAGAGTTGATTTTGTTGCTGTTGTTTATGTTGTTATTTTTTATTTTGTTTGTTTTGAAACAAGGTCTTATGTAGCCCAAGCTGTCTCAAGCTCATTTTGTACCTAAGGATGACTTGGAACTCCTGATTCTCCTGGCTTACTACCCAAGGGCTCAATTACCTGCTTTTGACCTTCACACTACAGGTTTGGAACCCCAGACCTGGACACAGTGAGAGCTGCCCAAAGGCACAAGCAGTACACACAGACACAGATAAACCAACCACACCTGCCTCAAAGCCCAAACTTTGGAATACAAAATTCTGTTTAAATCCAGAGACTGCTTGAAGGGTTTTTAAACCCAGCCCAAGCAAAATACCTATGTGATCATCCTTTTTAAAAAAGGTCCAGGGAACATGGAATTTGAGATAACCTAAATTTGTGTTTCCAGGCCATGGTCACTCAAAATAGCTCCAGAATAAGCTATT